CTAAAAATAATAGTGTAGTCCCATAATACACTCTGTTCTGTCAACATTAATTTTGAGCTGGGATGGGTATACAGCTCATTTTTATCTCAGCCATACTATCTTTTTTATGGTGTTAGAGTTATTATCAAAACTCCAGAATTAAAATGTAGGTTACTTTTAGGGACAAAAACTTTTCTTATTTGAGGAGCAAACTAAGGAAAATGACAGAAGATAATTGTTTTGGTACTAATAAAGTGTACCTTTTGCTCTGCTTAGTATGCAGCAGTGCAGAGTACAGTTTTCCAGACTGCAAGCCCTGAGGACATTCAAGGAAAGCCTGGGGAAAGCACGGGGGGGGGGGGACGGAGGGGACGGAAATACTCCTTTACTTAGCCACTTCCACTTGCAATTTGGTTTAAGCCCAGCTGCTGGCAGTTCATGAAACAACATGAAAGGTTGCTTTGTGAGGATCTGAAATGGTAATGATTCTGCAAATAAGAAAACTGTCCTGTTGTAATATTTAACTATCAAAGTTCTGTTGCTTTGGTTATACAAGTGAAGCAAGAAGCAGAAAAAGTATCCTCTCCCTTGAAAATACTTGTGTAAGAAGTAATGGCAAAAGAGCTATTAAGACTCCTGTGGTGCTTGGAAGTGAATGTTAGACATCTACCTTTGATACCTTCTTTTCTATATCCTTCCATTTTCTTCTCACATTAAATGTGACATTTTGACCCAGCATTGTTGTTGCAATATTATTGTATGCTATTAAAGAAGACAGAAGTGATTTCACAAAAAGCAGATAAGTAACTCATATATATTAGTTACCTTCATCAGAAGAGGGTGACAGGGCTTCGCTAGTAAATTGTATTAATACCTGTATGAGAGCTATTACAGGAAAATACAGAAGTGTATGTTTATTACCATGCCCTGGTAATACTCATTGATTCTAGAAGTTTATTTTAACCCTCTTGTTCAGTTTAAGGGCATTATAGTCTCCTATGCTGTGAGCTGCAATATTTAAAACCTCATTAAGCCTATGACCTTGCACTTAACCTCTTTGCTCACTGTTTCCTTCTCTGTGGTAGCAAAGTATTTATGTGCTGGAGGTCACTGTATTATTATTGAAATTCAGCCAGCAATGCACAACCCCACGACCCTGTGCATGAAGAAAAGATGCACAGATCCAAGATCAGGACAGAGACGTTGACTGCATGTGAGAGTCTTTCTTGATGCTGTTGTAGGCAGTCCTACTAATGCCCTGTTATCATGATATTCATGGAAAACAGCCTAGAATTTGACTAGGCAGTAGAGCCACATACCCAGAAAAGACTACAGACCTAACCATAGAATATGTACACACTTTGGGAGAGACTTTAAGGCTCTTCAAAAACATTGGTGACAATGCATATACCATCTTTATTAAATATTGACCATTTGTATTCTCCTCACATTTTGATAGCTTGCTCTTTTTCATTATGTTTTTGTCTTGTTTACTATAGAAGACAAGTAAACATTTAAATGTTTAAATTAATTAAATGTTGCTGAAATTTATCCAAATACCATTTAAGAGCTTAGATTTCTAAAAAGAATGATATTATTCCCAAAGTTGGAGTCAATGTAACATGGCTCTGTCAGTCCATAAGCATTGCATGACTGGAGAACAATTTACAGTGTAAATAGTCATCTGCTCTGGGTCTTTCACAAGGCTTTACTTAATTCTGTCAGGGACAACAGCACACAGCAACAGAAGGGCTGTAGTGAGAACGAAAGGAACCTGCACCACAGAGTGGCCCATGTACAGGTCCTGGTCAAGGTAATCAACCACCCTTCAAAAAAGCTTGAATTCTTCAGGTGTCTGCACTATGACAAAATCCACTGGATACTCCCATCCATTTCTGTTCGAGAGACAAAGTTGTGTAATAATGATCTGAATAGGAGCAATGCTTTATCTGAAGCATTATATGCAGTAAAAACAGTGCAAAGGAACACTCTATGACAATATGCTATTATATTTCACTTTTGGAAATCACTTGTGGCTGATTGCTTAATGGCAAACTTTACTGCTAAGATGAAACTGGCAGAATTCCTGTGTAATTATCTCCTGAAATCTCTAGTTAGTACTAAGCTCTGACTGTGTACTGACCCCTCTGGAAGCTCTCCCCAGTACACCAGGAAAGCAGGAAGTAACTGCTGAGATACGCATGTCCATGTTCCAGAAGTACCTTTGTTATTATCAGATACCCTAGGCCTAAAATTTGCCTGGTTTTAAACTTAGATATGGCATTGGCAGACTTTACAATGGCTCACAAGTCAACTACTTAACTTTTTACAATTTCAGGCAACTTTATTGTGCAAAAATATCAGAACTGACTTTTAGGCAGTGAAATATTGCTCTCTGGTTTTGATATTCTGGTATCTTGACAGTGGCACCAAAATACACAAACATTGTCCCATTTAGAAGACACGTAAGTGTGGAAAACATCCACATCCCGAGGCACTGCACCTCACCCTCAGTCCCAGCACTCCTGTCCAAGCCATCAGTATAGAATCACATTGTCTTCAAGTTCCAACTGTACTTCATATCCCAACAATGTTGCTCTATGTATACAATGATTCACCTAATTATCCACCCACAACTAATAAAATAAAGGGGTGGAAATTTCTTAATTTTTTTCTCACAGTTATAAAGACTTAAACAATGTCCTGGTTTGTAAGATAAGCTTGTATTCTATTTGCCATCTGTTGGAGGTTGGGCAGGTTTGTTATCTCTTCCAAGAACAATGGTTTGCTCCGAAGAGGTAATGGTTTGTTAGTGGGCCATTGACTGACTCAATGCAGGGCTGGTAACGTAACACCATCCCATTGTGAGATGCTCCACCCAGAGGGGGAAGCCAAGAACTCTTTTATTTTATAAAGGGGTACCTTTTGGGAGACAAAGCAGCTCGCTCTCTTTGCGGGATTCCCAGAGAAGCAGCTCCTTCGGCAGAACTCCCGAGAGAAGCAGCCAGAGCGCGGTGAGGCGGCGGCAGCGGAGCTCGGAGGCAGCCCCGGCACAGAGGAAGACCGGCCCAACTGCCACCAGATCTTCAGAGAAAACTATACCCTTCTAAAGATCACCACTTCAGCTGCAATTCATCAGCCACTGCAAGAGGAGCAGCTATCATTTCAACCGGACTGCTACTGGCACCCCGAATCCTCAGGTTGTGGACTTTATCACTAGTTTTGTTTGTACCAATTGCATTTGCCTTTTTAAATTGTTATCTAGTTTTCTCCTAGTAAAGAATTGTTACTCCCATTCCCATATCTTTGCCTGAGAGCCTTTTAATTTAAAAATCCTGGTAATTTGGAGGGAGGGGGTTTACCTTCTCCATTGCACAGGAGGCTTTTGCCCTCCTTCACAGACTCCTGTCTTGTCAAACCAAGACAACTCATTCCCATGTGTATGGGATGATCAACTTGGTTAAATTTAAGACATTTAAGCTAATAGCATGAATCTGGGAAACTCACAGCTTCCTTGAGCCATGACCTGTGTATCTTTTCCAGAAGAGCAAGAGGCTGATGAGACAGAAGATAATAAGCAAAGAACCCTTATTAAACCCAAGATTAATAGTGCTGTTGCCAGATGAAGAATTGTTTCCACATGGTGAATTTTTGCTAAGTGTCATTATGA